TTGGACACTTTAGCAGTTGAGATCTGTGCAAGAAAGTGCTCAGCTACAAGTTGAAATTGGAAATTGGAAAATCAAGGAACATTAACCACGCATAAAAAAATGCATTAACGGGAAAATTTAAAAAAAAAACACAAACTGCTGCTACTATAGCACTGTTAGGAACTAAGGTCAAAATGGAATTTTTGCAACACTTCTGCTGCAGCCTGCAACCATCTTCATACACAACACAGCAACAACATCTGCCATGAGGCCATGTAACAAGCATATGCAGAAATCAGAATTAGACAATATTAACATGCAACAAAACATTTACACACTGTCAATGCCAAGCTGCAATTGTAACTAACATTTACACACTGCTAATGCCAAACATTTACACACTGCCAAGCTGCAATTGTAACTAACATGCAGTAGTAATATCAAGAACACCTGAACAGCCAATTGCACTGTGCCAATGCCAAGAACACCTGAACAGCCAAACCATAAACACAAATACACAACATTTAAGATAGTAGCAGCCAAATAAGTCTAACAGTCTTAGACTCTAAGTCTCTAACACAATAGCAGCCAAATAAACAAAGTGCAAAACAGAGAGGGCATCCCTCAATTCAAGTTTACACTAATAGTCTTGAATAAACTTAGTCTTAATTCTTAAATATGGATTCCAGGAAGACGTACAAGACAACACTTAATATGCTTCCTTAAACCAGATGTTCCATTCCTCTTTGGATTAACATTATAGACTTGACCACAATGCTTGCACTCTACTGGGAATAATTTAAAGGAGAATTATTCAGCAATTTTTAATATTGTTTTAAATATTGTATACAGAGATTAGTGAGAAAAAGCCAAAGAGCTGCTTCAGGGAATAATTCAAAGGAGAATTCTAAGACATTAGAATGAGGAGTTTCTGGAAACCCACATCTTAAATCCCACATCTTAAATCCCTACAGTACTATTCAGCATTATCTTAGGATCAAACATAAATCATAGAACAGAAGCTACAATGATCATCCAAAAGGTTGAAACCCCCAAAATCTTTTTAAAAAAATCGATTTTTACTTTTTAGACCATCTTCGATCATACTCAATAAAACCCAGAACAAAACTTTGCCTACCAAACACGAAATTTCAAGTTTCATTCATAAAGATTCATTCTCACCTTCCCATAAATGATTTTGATAAAAATAAAACAAGATTTTTCAAGAAATATCCCTTAATCTGAGTCTCAATGTTAATCTTCTAAGTGTGATATAGATTGATAAAATGTAGACGGAGAAGTGAGAACAAGAGAGAAGCTATGGTTCCTCAGTTTCTCTATTTGTATCCAATAATTTCCCCTTTTCTCCACCGGAATGCTAGATGAAATCATCAATTACGTTCAATCTCTGCAAAAACAAGTCAAGTCTAGAAAGTAGAAACATACCTTTGAAAATTGAAACTATCGGCAAGTTCGCAACAGCAACATCTTCGTTTGCCCGGAATTTGTGAGGACTAAGGAGTGAGGAGTCAGAATTGCCAAATCGCCTAGACTCAACTGTACTGCCTAATGTTAAATCTTTAATGGCCTAACCAGCTAACCTAATGAGTAATGCCCTAATCTTTAGAGTGGGCTTGGGCAGTTGGGCTGGGAATTAAATCAAAAAAGGTTTGGGCTTGGGCGCTGGGGATGGGGCTGGGAAGTAAGAAAATATCTCTCAAAATTCAGTATTTTGGTATACCGAAATTTTAAAATTCTAATACCTAAGACCGTACCAAAATACCGAAATTGCAATACCGAATTAGATCGAAATACCAAAAAAACGAAATCGAAATACCGAATTAATTCGGTCCGTTTCGGAATTCAATTTTTCGGATTTTATGCTCACCCCTAGTACTTATTGAGTGTGAGTACTAAGCGTGAGCACTGAGTGATGAGAGTTAAGTCTCGAGTGACTGAGAGGCTTGCCCGAGGGGCTGTGTACATATATGAGTGATGCTTTGTCCGAGGGGCTTGTTTTTATGTTATTGCTATATTCACTCCTCTTTATACTAAGCCTCTGTTGAAAATATTGAACAAATATTTTTAAACAACTTTCATTTAAGCTAGAGTTTTTATGACATATTTGGTATTTAATCACTGATTTGGCTTTGTTATTTCCACTTAGATTTTTATGTAATGAGGTGTTTGTGATTCCTGTTTTGCCCGAGGGGCTGTTACGAATTATGTTTTGCCCGAGTGGCCGATTATGGTTTTCATATCTTATATTATAAATGGTATTGAACCTCTACTGAAACTGTTGGATAGAATTTTCAAATGATTTTTACCCAAAAGCTGGATTTTAAATGAGATGATTGACTCGTATTCTGATTTGAAAGCTCGTTGTGCTTATTGAGTTTATCATAAATGTGGATTCACTGTTTCCTACTGCTCAATCTGAATTTACTCTTATTACTTACTGGGTTGGAGTACTCACATTACTCCCTGCACCTCGCATGCAGATTCGGGTATTTCGGAACCCGGTAGCAGGTGTTGATTGCTCGGATGAGGAGGAGGAGGAGTTAGCAAGGTGGTTGCACGACGTTCACAACACTGCTTTCATTTCTCATTTTTTTCATTTTGTATTCAGTACATTTTTAGACTCTTGTTGTATTTAGACCTTGGTAGATGCTCATGACTAGTGATACCCTGATGTCGGGCTTGTGTAATTATTCCGCACTTTTCTTTTGAGTTTTAATATGAGATTATTGATTTATAAATAGTATAAAAACAACTTTTATTGGAAAATGGTTGATTCGAGAGTTGTGTCGGCTGACCTAGTTTCACGATAGGCACCATCACGACCAGATCAGTTTTTGGGTCGTGACACATGGTCATATGGTACCATATAAAATAAATACATACACTATTATTTCATTAAAATATCCATATAAAAATATATATAGTCTCAACTTCTCATTTTTCTAATCTCATATAAAGAGTAAAATTTCCGTATGCTTAATTCTTAAAATGGTAAAAAGATAACCTTCTTTTCTAGTAAAAAAATAATTTCTATCTTTTCAATAAAGACAATCTCATAAACTTACACATATTATGTGTATAATTGAAAGTAGTAATGTTTACCGTGAAAATGGTAGCAACAATTAAATTTATAAATGGGATTCTAAAAATACGTGATCTATTTTTATGCTACTTGTTAGAGTAGATGATGCTAAGAAGATGAAGTTCAATGATGAAATGCAAGCTTAAACAAGACAGTGATCGGACTGATAGGTCGACTGCCCGGGTGTAGGACTGGTCGATGGGGGACCTCGGGGTCGACATCTGGGTCAAGCTCGAGCAATCGGGGGCAGTCGGGAATGGGATAATAGTTAAGATATGATTAAGCAAGGCTCTTTATGGCCAATACCAAGTGATATAATGAAGAACAAGTAAGAAAGCGATAAATATTAAAGTGACCTCGAAC